CCATGTGTATTATACATGTATATTAACTCAAAATTTTGAAACTTTAAATGTTTATATCTAATAAGCTAATAAAGTTATATTAAAAATTCAAATGCCATTTACTATTAAATTAAAAACTCAAACATTTTATTAAATTAAAAATATGTGTTACCATTTAAAAAAACAAAGTTGACCCCCCTCCAAGGCATAAGGGATGAACTTAAAAAGTATTACATATTTTAAAATTCAAGAATAATGTGTAACTAAAGATAATGAAAAAAAAAATGTTTAAATTATTATTATTCTGCAAGTAATTGAGTGGGTTATGATAAAAAAATCACCCTGTATAATTAAAAGAATTACTAATCTTTGTATAATTAAGGAAATAGAAGTCGATTTTGCTTTTATAATTATCCATCAATTTTTTAGAATTAAACACTATCTACAGATTTGCGTCGAAGCGTTTCTTATGATAGCGATTTTAATCACTGTCAGATTAAATCTATACTGAACCCCTCTATGCAGCGACCTCACTGTGCTGGGTTTTTTAAAATTATTATCAAAATTTCATATGTTAAATCATACAGAACAAAACTGAAAAAGACTATTGAAACATTTTTTCAAGGATGAGAAACTAAAATATTTAAATTTTTAAAGCAGCAATTTGAAATGCGTATAAAAGATATGGTTTCACAAATAAAAAATAAACTAAATTTTTATATTTAGAATATTTAAGAGGTTTCGCGAATAATTTAAAATTTTAAACAATTATGTTTTAATTAATATATTTATAATTATTAGATTATATTTGACATAATTATTTTATTACAAACATTTTATTGTTAAAATTGTTTTTATGTTATAGATTATTTATAATTATTCGAACACAATTTTTTTGAATAAATGTCATTTATTACACGTTTTATTCGAACGCACGACAATTGAACATATGATACGCTACCTCGTGAAATGTGATTCGAATCATTTCTAAATCGAACAGAAACAAAGCTATAAACTAAAAGTGAACCAGAAAAAAATTATTTTGATTTCAAACATTATCCATGAATAATTTATTTTAACAATCAATTAAAAAAATGTTCGTATGACTCAAATGCAGTGAAATATTTTGAAAAAATCGTTCTCCCAAGTAACTTAAAATTTAGATCAATAAATGTAGGTTGATTGTAAAATTTGAAATGAACATTGAGGTTCTCGCTCCCTAGCTCCTCCTTAATTCTGCCCCCAGTTTATTACGTTATGAAATTAATATCATTATTATTATTACATACAATATAATAGAAATCAATTGAATATTAAGTGAAGTTATTTATTTTATTATCATAAAAAAGTTTTAAAGATCTCTCAGTTGTTAAATTAAACTTCGATGTAATCAGTATTCAAAAGTTCTAATTACAAATCAGGAATATTTAAATTCAATAATTTATGTGAAAAAAATAATTTTCTTCTTTTTACTGACATTGTATCTTAACAGATTTCTAATATTGATTAAATTATCTCTTATTACTGTTATTATTAAAATTTGCATCTGTATTAGTACATTATTATGTATACTATTCCATTTTTAACTATATCCAAGACAAGACATAAAAAATTCAATTTTGTACATTTATTGTAATTTACATTTTTATCTAATAAATTTAATATATATAATATATATATTATATTTTACTAGATGACATGTGGGTATTACTAATGTTTTGTACTGCAAAAATGGGTATATCAACATCTTATGTTGTTCTATCACTGTTTGCACCAGAATTATATCCAACTGTAGTTCGAGGACTAGGTATAAGTGTTAGCTCTGTTGCTGGTATGATTGGACCAGTTGTTATACCACTAATTAATTATATTGTAAGAAATGTTATTGTAATTAATACATGTTATATAATTTTGATATTTTAGAATTATTATTTTTTATTTAGGGATTAGGATCACAGTTAACACTTACAGTATTAGGAGTTTTACAAATTTTTGGTGTATTTATAACTTTAATTTTACCAGAGACAAAAAATTGTAATTTACCTCAAACATTAGATGATGCAGAAGTATACAAATAGAAATTAAGTGAAATTGTTTTTAACATAAATAAATATGATAAATAATGATGATGAAAATGATTGAATTAAAATGACTTAATGATAAATTAAAAAAATTAATAAAGTATTTAGCTCTATTTAAATTTGTATTAAATAAATTTAAAAACCTAGCACAGTGGTGACGTGGCATAGTTGGATCAAGTATAATGATATCTGACAGTGATTAAAATCACTATAAAAAAAAAACGCTTCGATGCAAATCTTTAGATAGTGTCTAATTTTAAAAAATTGATGGATAATTCCAAAAGCTACATGATCTGCTATTTTCTTATTTATATCCTGATTAAGATAAAGTATGTTGAATGAAAAAGGAATATAAATATTATTTCTCATAAAAAAATTGTATTGATCCATACATTTTTCAAAAAGTTATAACATTTTAAAGTGAAAAATGTAAAATATTTTCACACAAAATTAGCATTTGGTAGCCATTTTCACCGTGAAGACAAAATAAAGTCAGAAATTCTATTTTTTCCATAATAAAATACATTACATTAGCTTTAATTTATGATATATATAAATGTGTCAGACTTTCCGAAACAATTTCAAAAGTTAAGTTTTAGACTAGATACGATTTGTAATCTTTTAATGTATCGTTGAAAGAAATCGGTTCTGTGAGAGCTGAGAAAAAGTGGTAACAGACAAAAAAAACACATTATAGTAAAACTAATACATTCTCAGCTTCGCATCAAAGCTAAAATATATCATAAATAGGAATAGAACAAACAGTGACGGAATATATATGAATATAACAAAGTATTTTTGAATAATAAATATTATTTCAAAAGGTATTGTTGTAGAAAAACGCTCAAAGATTTTACACCCGCATATCCTCATTATAAAACATGCTGAATTAAATAAGCATCATGTAATAAACCATAAAAAAAGAGTTCAAAGATAATAAAATAATGTAAAGTAGAGTATAATATAATAATATAAAATTAAATATGATGGCAAAATATGTATAGGTGTAAAGGGTCTAATGATATAAATAAAAAGGAATTTAGAAAGGCAAGTAAACAATGGCGGATCATATAAGGGTATTGGTCAAATAAATAAAATAAAATAAACACAAACATTTATGACAAAATAGTAGATTGATCTCGAGGTTGAATAATATTGAATGAATGATTGGCTCTTATATGTAAACAATTCTATACACTCAGTTTTTAGCTTCGATGCGAAGCTGAGAAGGTATTAATTTTACCATAATGTGTTTATTTTTTTTTTTGTGTGTTTGTCACTACTTTTTCTCAGCTCTCATAGGACCGATTTCTTTCAAAAATACGTCAAAAGATAAAAAATCGTATCTAGTTGAAGACATTACCCTTAAAAATTTAAAATTTTTCCCTGGTTCACCGCAAATGGGGGAAATATCCAAAAAAATTACAAATTTAAAAATCGGTAAATTTTGTCTTTTTTTTCTTAAAACTTCCATAACTTTTTCAAAAATAAACAAATCAACATAAATTTTTTTTATACTAAAACCTTAGATATTTTCCTTTTATTTGATATCATTTTTTTGAAAATTTAACACTTAACCTGCTCATTGGGGGGGATTTAAAATAGCAACTTTTTTACAAAAACTAACTTTTTCAACTTAATTTTTGAAAATGTTCCGGAAATACTGCGTCCTTTAAACATATATCAAATTAAAGATTATGTGATGTACTATAAAATTAAAAAAAAAAAAATTGTCTCGACGACCTATCTTCTATGCGCAAATAGCTATCGTATTCAAAAATTTGCTATTTTTGTATTTAAAATTTGAGTTTTCTATTTTAATTTATTTTAAAATATCTTATTAGGGGAATAGACTGACTTTCATGAATATTATATAATTTAATTGACATAGAATAAAGTTCATAAGACATAAGAAATTAAACTTATTAAACTTATTAAAATTTTTTACTTTTTTGATTTAGTTAGCTATTTAAATGTTTATTTAAATAGCTAACTAAGAGTTTATTNATTTTTTACTTTTTTGATTTAGTTAGCTATTTAAATGTTTATTTAAATAGCTAACTAAGAGTTTATTTAAATGATCTATTACAATAAAAATGTAAAAAAATTTCGTTTCTGATAAATGTACTGTAAATAGTATTTATAAAATTCCCCGATTGCATATTAATCTTAACAATTTCTTTTTTTTCTATTTAATAATGTCAATTTCAAACTTGCAAGTTGTGCTAAATGTTAATGTAATAAATTAATTTTTTTTTTTATTAAAACTTTCACTTTAAAGGACAATAAAAAGAAGATTCAAAATGATTACTTTTAACATATTAAAAATCAAAATCAATAATAATTTGAAAACAATTCATTTTAAATATTATGTTATATATAATTAAAAGAATTACTAATCTGGGTATAATTAAGGAAATAGAAGTTGATGTTGCTTTTCTAATTATCCATCAATTTTTTAAAATTAGACACTGTCTAAAGATTTGCATCGAAGCGTTTTTTTTTATAGAGATTTTAATCACTGTCAGATTAAATCTATACTGGACCCAACTTTACAACGACCCCACTATGCCGCGACCCCACTGTGCTGGGTTTTAGCTTCGATGCGAAGCTGAGAAGGTATTAATTTTACTATGATGTTTTTTTTTTTTTTAATTTTTTTTATTTTTTTTTTGTGTCTGTGAACGCTCAATCTCAGCTCTCGCTGGACCGATTTTGATGAACAATATGTCAAAAGATCACAAATCGTATCTAGTCGAAGACATTACCCTCAAAAATTGAAAAAAATTCCCTCGTTCCCCGTAAACGGGGGAAATCCCCCAAAAAATTACAAATTTAAAAATCGCTAATTTTCGATATTTTTTCAATTTTTTTTACTTAAAATTGCCATAACTTTTTTAAAAATGACCGAATCAATATAATTTTTTTTTTTATAGATACCTTAGATAATTACCTATCATTTTATATATTTTTGTGAACATTTGACCCTTTAACAGCCCAAAGGATGGGGTTTCAAAATGGTAACTTTTTTACAAAAAATTAACTTTTTCAACTTAACTTTTGAAAATGTTCCGGAAAGACTGACAATTTTATATATACCTTAAATTAAAGCTAATGTAATATACTTTAATTTGAAAAAAAAAAATTTGACCTCTGGACTTGTCTTCATGGTGAAAATGACTACCGTATGCAAAAATATGCTATTTTTGTGAAAAAATTCTTGATATTATATTTTACATTTTTTAACATTATGTTGCTATAACTTTTTAAAAAATGCATGAATCAACTTTATTCTTTAATGATAAATACTTTATATATACTTCTTTCATTCGACATACTTTTTTTTAAAATCGGACCATTTCCCTTTATACAGGGGGGGTGCAAACCTTTTAAAATGCGTATAGAAAGTAGAACTTTTTCAACTTAACTTTTGAAAATGTTCCGGAAAGACTGACACTTTTATATATATCTTAAATTAAAGCTTATGTAATATACTTTAATTTGAAAAAAAAAAATTTGACCTCTGGACTTGTCTTCGTGGTGAAAACGGACATCAAAGTTAAAGAAAAACGTACGATTTCCGTGAAAAAAATCTCGATTTTATATGTTATATTATTTAATTTATATTTTATATAACTTTTGGAAAAATGTATGGATCTATATTATTATTTTTTTATAATAAATATTGATATACCCCTTTCATCTGGCACGCTTTTTTTGTAAATCGGATCATACCCCTTTAACAAGGGGGGTCAAAACTTTAAACATGCGTATTGTTACTACGATATTTTCAATTTAATTTTTGAAAGTATTCCGGAAATACTGACACTTTTAAATATATCTTAAATTAAAGCTTATGTAATATACTTTAATGTGAAAAAAAAAAATTTGACCTCTGGATTTGTCTTCATGGTAAAAATGACTACCGTATGCAAAAATATGCTATTTTTGTGTTAAAATTCTGGGTTTTGTATTTTATTTTATTTTAAAATACCTGACAAGGGGAGTACAGATTTTCATAAATATTATATAAATTAAAATTGATATAGTATAGATAGTTAAACTTATTTAAATATGTTTGTTTCTTTTAAGTCGAGAAAAATAACTTTGAAATTTGAACTAGCTTAAATAGCCAATTTTTCAACCGCCGGAAGCAACGTACGGTTGCCGAGTTGGTAAAATTTATGTTTTACACGCTTGGGGTACGAGGTTCCAACCCGCATATGGCAATGAATTTTTTGCATTTTTTCTTAATTCTTTTTAAGTTAGTATAAATTTTAACTCGTTTGATTTTTATCACATTTAGATTCAATAACTTCAATAAAGATCAAGGATCCCATCACTTTAGTCGCCCCTTGCAAGAAGAAATTTCTTATTCGTATTAAAATTATTTTACTATATTTTAAGTTTTCGCTTCGATGCAAAGCCGAGAAGATATTTTTTTGTGACTATCATTTATTTTCTCTGCTCTAACTTGACCTACTTTTTTCAACAATACGTCAAATTACTACAATTCGTATCTAGTTGAAGATATTACTCTCAAAAATTGAAAAAAAAATTCTAATTTATCAATTAAACAGTTAGTTATTACATCGTCTCCATAAAGACAATTAAAATCATTAATTTCTAATGTTTTCAAAATATTTATTAACGAATGAAGTTTGATATGATAGGTTTCAACTACAAAATTAAATCATTTTACTTTGTAATTTAATAATTTTTTTACTCTATTTGTGTGTGCTACTACTAGACTATAATATTACAATTTTTTTTTGTAACATGTTGCTATATAAATCATTTCTAAAAAAAATGATTGTTTTTTCTCCTGAATTAACAATTGATTTTTACAAATATAATCAAATTTTATAATACACTCAATTGAGTAAATCTTTTTAACAACTTTGTTTTGATTGGTACATTTAGTTAAAGTAAATCATTAAAATTAATTAAGTTCTCAATATTTCAATTATAGAATCTTTTCAACAAACAACAAAAGTTCCTAGGAAATTATTACTATTACTTCTATTTAAGTTATCTATTACCATAAAAATGCAAAAAAATATTGAGCTTTTCTGATAAATTTACAATAAATAGTAATTA